ATATTATTATATTTCCAAAATAATAATAATCTTTATTGTCATATAAACAAATTAAAAACATGTTTGTGACAAAATGAAAAAAAACAAAATACACTCATATATATATTATAAACTTTTTACTACCAAACAGAATTCATTGTAACATACACATTACTGTATATTTATAATTTGAATTCCATAGGATTTTATTTTGTCCCATGGGATATTAAAAATCCCATGGGATAATTATAGTCCCATGGGATTTTTTTTGTCCCATGGGACAACAAATATCCCATGGGACTACAATTATCCCATGGGACCCAAAAAAATCCCATGGGATTTAACCAAAATCCCATGGGATAATGGTCAATCCCATGGGATTTGCCTTATCCCATGGGATATTGAAAATCCCATGTTTTTCTAAATCAAATTACAAAATATATATAATAATAACAGCAGAAAAGCAATGAAATTATTGAATCCCATGTAATTTCGCACATTTTGGTTATTTACACGACACTGTAGGTCTAAGGAGAGGCGGCGGCGGATTTGCAAATGAGTGTTTTGCAAATTAAAAGTGTCCAGTGTTTATTTTACACTAAGACGTGCACATGACAGTAAAAAGCAAATGAGCAAATTTTGACTCATACATCGTGGCACTTAGTACATATATGTACACCAAGTAAGCAATAACCTTTATTGAAGTAGTGTCATCATGAGCTATGCAGATGATAAGGATGTCGATTGAAAAAGAAATGAGAACTCCTGACGCAGAGGTTTTTTTTTTTATCAATACAAATACTCTTTAATACTTTGGGGGACAATTTTTTAAGTCCTTAACATTTTATCATCAAATGTGTTTGTACATCAACAAATGGTGACATGCTGATATTTGGTATTTTTGCTCAACATCCATGGTTCGGTATTACAAACAACTCTTAAGCAATGAAAAATATGAAAATTAATAAAAATAAAAACCCATTTCAAAGAAAAGTTACATACATGTATATCTAAATAAAAATTCGTTTTGACGACATTTATAGAATATTTTAACATATTATCACAATTTAGTGCTTTAAAAAAGCAACTACCTTGATCTAGATATAGATTTGACGTTTTGTAAAGATTCCGGCGGGAACCGGGACAGGAGCGGGAAAAAATGGATATTCTCGGAATTTTTGTTGACCGATTATGTCTGGGAGTAAGGGGTGATTGAAGTGTGGAGTAGGGGGGATTGGGAGTAGAGGCGGGGTGGGGGTTGGAGTAGGGAAGTGGGAATCACGGATCCCCTTGTCATCCCCCTCTTATATAAAATACCATCGTTTTTTGTTTCATAATTCGTTTTATTATGGGTTCAATATAATTTGCATGCAACAAAGAACAGGAGTACCTTGATTAACGTCTGCTAACGTCTTTTGAAAAACATTCTGCTATCATATTTAGTTAAAAGAAACTATCCAGACATGCATATAATTGACGATATTTTCTTATTAAAATACCGCTAAGAATTTAAAAGAAAACAATGAATATTAGCGGGAGTTGAAATTTTCAAATAACAAAAACGTCCGCTATTTTCCAGACAAAGGTTTAAGATAATGAAAGGACTGTAGACTAGTTTTGTAAACTATAGACCGATGTACTTATAAATTAAATAAATATCCAGGTTGCATGTAAACGAAAGTCATATTTTTCCTTTAGAGTTTGTGCATTAAAATTTCACAGTGAAATCGACAAACAGAGATTACATAGGTTACGAAAGCACGGCCGTCACTCGGTTAACCGAGAGATTAGTCGGTTAATCTACCTGAGTATGCGGCTATATGGGCGGTTGGTCTGTTAATCGGGTCGGTAATACGTCTGTTAAGAGTAAAACGCACAATTTAATGTTAAACTCTGTTAAATATACAGATTTTTGGCATATTATAAGTAACAAATCAAAAAAAAGAAAAGTGTCTGCCAAAATGATATCTATCATAGAACATTTTCCAGCTGTAAAAACATTACATAGTCTGCTCAGTTTTCAGTAAAAATAAAAGGCGTCACCCAAGTATATGCTATTTATGCTTATACGCATAGCAATTTTTTGGATAAAAGGCGAAAAAAACATTTTTATATATCATTTAAAGGACACAAAATAGTACTTTTGTTCTAAAAAATAAATTGACATTAGTAAATATTTCATAATTGTAATATAACGTGAGTAATACCACATTTTAGTGAATATTAGGGGAATAAAGTCTGTTAATGGGTTGGACAATTTAAATTGTGTCAGTTAAGAGTTATTTAGCCACGACAATAGTTTTGCTACCTTTATATTTTCCCATTAAAAAAGTTAAGAATGAGATGTACTTGAGTAGAAAAAATGACAATACGGTGCAACAGTATCCTTCTAGTAAGAACATTTTTATTTTGACTTTCTTTGCATTTTATTGAAGGGTGTGTCACTTCAATATAGCGTGATATGGATTGGCCGCTGGAATATGCATGAATTTATTATTAACGTTTTCAATCAGCCTTATTTTTTGTGTCTGTTCAAAGTCTGCAACATCTATGAATCTGTCGTGTGTTGCAATGCAGCTGGTTAAATTCCATGCGTTTTCCGATATGCATTGTCTTTTCTACCTTTTGATCATTGTCATTTTCTGCCTAAGGAAATGTTTATACCAAGTAAGGAATATGACCGTTGTTTTCTATTCGTTAGCAAGACTTGGTTCTAAACAATAAATTGACATTTAATTTAGTAAGTTTTTTTCTATCAATATTTGTGTTGGGTGCTGATTAACTTTAATGTGTAACAAAAAGAATATTTCATTTTCCTGGAAATCACAACAAATATATAATATTAATTTTGTTTTTCGAGTAATGAGTATTTCCATTGTAAATTATTTACCCGACTAGCAGTCCGCAAACGTGCTTGTTTTTGTGTCAAGGTGGTGTAGAGAAAGGTTGATGTTGAAAGGTTTGTTTAATTTGTATGCAATTATAAACATATTTCAGTCCATTTGATAAAAAATGTTTAAAAGTGAAGACTAAATTTTGTATGTGTTACACATGGTATTATAATTTTAAATGTTTAATTTGAATTTTCCTCGATGTTTAATCACTACAAAGTAACTACCAATCGATATATCAGTACTTTATGGAAACTTTGTGGAAACTTTATGTGATAATCCAATGCAGTAATATCAGATACATCATTGGCAACATATCACCATATTTTATTGTAAATTATATGATATATGCGACCATTCTTGGAAAAAATTAATATTACTTTAATATTACACTTTTTGAAACCATTTTTATCAATTTTCAATTTCCATTGTCTAAATTTATGTTTCATTGTTCATGTGTTGTTTCCGTATATTTTAGCCACTCGTCTTAAGCATACCCATTTGTTCCGATAACACCCCATATAGCAATCAAATTATACTTTTATTGCCATTCATAACTCTCAACAGACCAAGTAACAGACCGGGTTTTATACATCCGACCCATTAACAGACCAGGTTTTTTAATAATAATTGATTTATGTCACCAAAATACAGATTTTCGTGTAGATTTTTCATATAATGATATTAATATGGTTAACAAACATAGTGTCTGTCTTTTTTCGATGTTCAAAATATTGCATGCAAGTAAATTCAACCAACTTGTCAATTTGTGTACATTTTGTGTGTGTAAAACGTGTATAAATTTATTGATGAGTAACCCGCCTTTTCATTTTATAGATCGAAGCTAGAAAAAAAATAATTACACCGCTGGATTCAGTACACTGAATTGTTTTGGCAGACATGAATAGTTTTTATGATAAAAATGAAATTATATTTAAAAAGTTATACAATGAAACATACTGACCTTAAGCTTGGAATCATTTTCTCGATAACATCTGATTAACAGACTTAAGCCAACCCGATTAACAGACCAACCGCCCATATACCATACTCGGGTAGATTAACCGACCAATCTCTCGGTTAACCGAGTGACGGCCGTGGAAAGTAGTCCCGTCAACATGGTCTATAAACAGGAGAAAGCAGTTTTCATTAATTCCCGGAAGTAATTTTTTGTAACTTAATAAGTAATTTATAAAATATGCATTATTTGCACGATTTAGCTTTGATGCTATTAACAAGGTTGATTTCGGCTACTTTTGGAATAATGGGCAAATACTACAGAAAAATGGGTCAAAAATAAATAATAGAGAATAATGGGGTACTAAACTATAAGGAATCGATAATAATGGGGTACTAAAATATAGAGAATAGAGAATAATGGACAATTACTAAACAAAAATGCACACGAAAAAAAAATAATAGAGAAAAACTAGGCCAAAAAAATAAAGAATAGAGAATAATGGAGTACAGTACTGAAATATAAAGAATAGAGAATAATGGACAAATACTACAGAAAAATGGGATAAATAAAGGGTAGAAATAAATTGGGTAAAAAAATAAAGAATAGAGAACAATGGGTAAAACATATATAGAATAGAGAAAAATGAAATCAAAAATTAGAAATTAACGAACACAGAAATGAAGGATCCTCCCCATGCAGACCCTCATTCCAGATATCCGTATAGTTCACTAAAGTTGGTATTATACTTTTATATTACAAATGTTTGTGAGTTGGGTGTTTAAAGAAATCTTTCTTGATTTGTATGAACTAAATAAGAAGAGTATATTTTGGAATTTCAAAGAGATACAATAGGTCTTTCAACAGACAGACATACTTAAATTGCGGCTTTCGCAATCTAGTCTGTCTTTAAATGATTATCAAGAACCTTTTATATCAGAAAATAATATCAATAAATATTCACTGGATCCGAATCCCTTAAAGAATTTGTTTAATTGATGACTTTTTACTAATTATTGCAACTTTTCATGAATAATACACTTTATAACCGCCAATTACGCATTCAATTTGCCGACAATATCTTGACAGGCCTTTCTCTTCAGTGCGTTGAAGTTGACGTCTCCCCGTCCCCCTTTGCTGCACCGAATGAAGTCTTTTCATTCTCGAGAACGATGGAGAAGACAAGGGTCTGTTCTTTGGTGTCCCACAAGGTTCTCTGTTTTGAGTTTCCGATGGAGTTGTCGTCTACCCATTTAAAAAAAATGAATAACCGGAGAATATATCCGAGCACTCAGTATGAGAACTATTCAGGTATCAATTGAAGATTTAAAACCGAGAGGTCTGGCATTGCAGTCATAAAAATTTCGAGCACGATTGAATTTCTCAGACTCAGAAATCAACTTTTACCGTGAAAAATAATTCCCCCGATAATCATGGTAGAATTTTGTAATTTTTACACAGATATAATCAAGTAGGTTTCTGTTTTATGTCTGTGAATTTCTAAACTGAACTTCTAAAAATCAAGCAGCAAGAGAGTATCATACCCAGATCTTCATGTAGGGATTTTTTATGTGACCTCTTTTTCGGGAAACAGTTGTTATGGTCTCATCGACATTAACCCCACATCACGTTTCTTATTTGATTCCTTTGTCATACTTTACTCTTAGGGAGCTACAATTTTGATTTTTATGGGGGGAAGGGGGTAGGATGAAATTAAAAGAAAAGGCAGGACAGGAGTTTTGAGTAAAAAAAAGGCAGGATGAGCAACTTTGCAAAAATAAAAGTCAGGATAAACTAATAAAAAAAAAATGCAGTACCGAAAAGAGTGAAAAATAAAAAGGCAGGACAGAGATTACAACTAAAAATGCAGGACAAAATCGAGTTTAATGGGCTAAAAAATGATATTTTATCAGAGTTTAGGCTAGTCCTTTACATTCAATTAAACCAAAGTAATTAAAATGTGTATGCACATCTACAAATATAGTTACATGCTGATAGTTGGTATTGTTGTTCAACATCTATTGGTCCTGTATTACAAACAATTCTTAAACAATAAAAAGATATGAACATTAATACAAATTAAAATCCATTTCAAAGAATAGTTAAATACATGTATATCTAAATAGAAATTTGTTTTGACGACATTTTACAGGATAGAGAAAAATGAAATAAAAAATTAACGAACACAGAAATAAAGTTCACTAAAATTGGTATCATACTTTTATATTACAAATGTTTGACTACGTTTGGGAGTTTTATGTTAAAAAAAAATCAGATTTGTGTAAACTAAATAAGAAGAGTATATTTTGGAATTTCGAAGAAATACAATAAGTCTTTCAACAGACAGACATACATTGTACTTAAATTGCCGCTTCCACAATCTAGTCTGTCTTTAAATGATTATCAAGTAGAAATGACGTTCGCTGTATCTATTCCATTGATCAAGAAATCAATTAAAATTATAATTGATGCGCGATTGCGTTTGATCTGCGCTGTAAGTGGATCGGGTTTTAGCATATGATGGTTTAACCTGTGTGTTGTGTTTCAATTGACAAGAGTCAAATGCAGTAACCTCTTTAACAAAAAGAAATAATTATTGCTGTATCGTTCACTCATTATTCATGGGTACATTCAATGAAGAATTTGAATAGTTGGCATGACGAAATAGTTGTCCATTACACAATAATTGATTACTAAAAAGACTGGTAACGTATTTCCTAAATGTGACCTTTTTATTTTATAAATGTGTTCCATAACAGTTACGAATCTCTGGATTTTACATACTATGATATGAGTACTGCCTATGGTTAATAGAGAGAATTTTTCTTCTTATTCTACCTAGCATATATATGGCCTGAACTCAAAAGTGTGTAAACCCACTGCAACAATGAGCAAATACTGTTAACTAGAGGCTCTAAAGTGCCTGTGTCGCTCACCTTGGTCTATGTGCATATTCAACAAAGGACACTCTCCTACATTATAGAAGAGAATATTGTTCACGACAAAAATCTCTGTTTTGTTGATCTTGTATTGCTGATCATTTATTCTTTTTAGTTTCTCTCTATCTTCTTTTTAGTTTTTTCTCAAAACACAAAAGAGGGCAAACAAAATTCTCATTTAAGGGCAATCACTCCTATAAAGAGTGACAGTCTACTAATAATATCAGCAAAATTTGACTTGTTAGTAGACCTTGACTTGCTGATCATTTTTGTGATTTAAAGTGTCTATTTATCATAATTTTTATCATATAAGGAAAAATGCAAAAAAAAAAAATGGTGAAAATCGTCATTAATGGACAATAACTCCAATAAGGAGTCGTCGGACAATTTCCTCTGAATCGTCTTCATTGTAGTTCTTGTCTTGCTGGTCATTTTTGCTTATTTAATTTTTTATCTATCTATTATAATTTTTTAGATATAAGGCAAAAATGCAAAAAAATGGTAAAAATCGTCATCAAAGGGCAATAATTCTAATAAGGAGTCGACTGACGATTTCAACCATGCAGACTTATTTGTAGAACTTGTATAGCTGATCATTTTTGTATTTTAAATTTTCTCTGTATCTATTATAGTTTTCAAAATAATAGGCAAAAATGAAAAAAAAGTTAAAATTTGTCATTTAAGGGCAATAACTCCAATAAGAAGTCGTCTGACAGTTTTGACGTATATGGGCAATTGGTAGAGCTCACATTCTGAACATTTCTGCCCTTGTCAGATTTTCTCTATATATAACGGTTTTCAAAATAGTAGAAAAAACTTGCATTTTACCCATGTAACCATGGCATGTTGGTTGGCAGGCGGGGTCATCGGACACATTTTTAAAACTAGATACCCCAATAATGATTGTGGCCAAGTTTGGTTTTGGTTAAACTTGGCCCAGTAGTTTCGTAGGAGAAGATTTTTGTAATAGTTAACGGACGACGACGACGACGGACGCCAAGTGATGAGAAAAGCTTACTTGGCACACTGGGCCAGGTGAACTAAAAACGATACCGAAAAGCTACTTTCTAATGAATACAAGTATAAAAAGGTATAAGATACAGAAAGATTAGTAGATATCCATGACATTTTTTTAAGGATTTGTATTCTCTTACTATGCATTTTTTATATTGGAAAGTAACATTAATAAATTTTCACTGGATCCGAATACCTTAAGGAATTTGTTGACCTTATACTTGTAATTGCGACTTTTCATGAATAATACACTTTATAACCATTCATTACGCATTCAATTTGCCGACAACATCTTGACAGGCCCTCCATTTCAGTGCGTTAAAGTTGCCGTCTCTCCCGTCCCCCTTTACTGCACAGTCCGAATAAAGTCTTTGCGTTCTGGAGAACGAGGGAGAAGAGAAGGGTCTATTTTTATGTGCCCCACAAGGTTCTCTGTTTTGAGTTTTCGATGGAGTTGTCGTCGTTTACCGCAACCGTAACGTGATCGTCTGCAATGGTATCTATTTTAAACAAAATAACCGGAGAATATATTCGAGCACTCAGTACGAGAGCTATTTTGCAGTCGATTAAAGTTTTATGTTCGAGAGGCCTGGCCTTGCGGTCATAAACATTTCGAACACGATTGAATTTCTCAGACTCAGAAATCAACCAATCAAAATACCGGATTTTGTGTTTCGATCACAAATTTTGTACTCCGAGTACGATCGGCTCAATCTGTCTAACTCTTAAACTCACCTCATGTGATTGGTAAAAATGTATATCTGTCTTTTTACGGTTGCCCATGTCATAAAGTCCTGTAGGGTTTTTGTTACTTTGATTCCTATTTTCGATGTAGTAGCATCAGTGTGCTATCAATATTTAATCAATGTTGATGAGAGACGATGTTACACTCGTTACACTGTCAAAAGGCACACTAGTGTCAATGTTGCATTATACTATCTTTAAATTAAATAAGCTTTTCCTCTATAGATTCCTCTATAGAGAACTGTCGCTTCACTCTAAATACCTCTTTGTTCTACATATTTGAAAATGCAATCTGTTAAAAAGTATTATGTGTAGCAGTTTACAAGAATAAATTTAAATAAATTCCATACAAAATACAGTAAAAGTGACATTTTAAACTAAGGGTCAGTTAGAGATTTACAGGACACATATTGACATATTGGTTAACCACGTTTAATCACTAACATCCAACATAACCATACCTTTGAGTTTCAAATCATTTCATGCACATAAAAGTCTTTTGTTATTTTGTTTTGTTGGGTAAATGTCTCACTGGCGTCTACTCCACATCTTTTTGTTCATACACAATTAAATCCATAATCATCTAAATAGGTAGATACATGTACCTATTTCAGTACGAACAATAAATTTCCCTTGGCCATAACAATCTTGTTCCCACTGTGTGCTGCTCCAAATAATAATTAAAACAATGTGATTGTACTGAAAGTCAATTAACAGTGATACGTTTTTTTAATTTAAATTATTGTTCGATTTAATTGGTAGTTTTTGAAATGCATTCGTTATTCCTATAACTAAAGGATGTACTCTACCATTATCAGTTAGTCGGATAATCTTGGTTTTGTAGTTTTTTAACAACATATATAATCCGTTTAAGTTCTATAAATCATCAAAAATGAAATATTTAAAATAAGATTTCTTATTTGCAGTGTATAATGTGTTTGAATTAATTTCAAAAATATTTGTTTTAATAGTTAACAACGTTAGTAGGCTATAAAGTATAATAAAAAAATTATCAACGAAGTAAATAAAATGTGGTAAAGGAAAGGAATTGACCTTGACAGCAACTGGTCAGGTGGTGTTCTCATAATCCTAAAGAACATACATTTTTGGGTATTTTATATATAAATGGAGATCACTTGGTCAAGTTCCTATCATTTTTTTGGGTGAATTGTACTTAGTGATTGAGTGACAATTAAATGATTGTTGTGGTCATAAATTGTACCTCCTTCTGCATAAGATGAATTGTGTAATACATAGATACCTAACTGAAAACATTTTTGTTCATTGAAAAAAGAAACATTCTGGCACAAATTGTATGAGTTTGTATATGAATGTGAAAATGATAGACATTAATTCAGTTACCGTACATGAAATTCTGATTTTTTTCATAATTCGTTTTTTTTTAGATTTATAGAGCTCAAACGGACTATTTTCCTAAAGAAACTTAGAAGGATATCACACCCATCCCCTTTTTTCCTTTTCATCATTGTCAAATGCCATTGGTAACATTTTGTAGAGTTAAACACACCGATATGTAGAATTTTGTATTTATCGTTACAAAGAAACTGACTTTAAGTAAGATCTCTAACAATCGGTTTGAAAAGCCTTTCGACAGTTCATTAGATCTAACACTGATGTATTTATCACCAAATCCAATAGATATTAGTGATGCATCCTTTGCTTCTTATTTATTTTCCAATTAGAGGTATAATTCTACAAAGGAATAACTAAGGTCCAAAAACTATGTCTTCGTCATTGTCTATTTTTTAGAACAGTTCACATAATACGGTACATTGAAAGCTTACAGCATAACAAATATAAAAAAATGAAGATAATGGCCTGTCGGAGCAACAATCAACACAGTAGCTTGTTTGTCCTTTTAATAAACTAAAACTATTATTTTATGACATTTATGTGAGACAATCTTATTGTATGTAAATGTCTCCTACCAGTTGGAATGTATCTGCACTGTTGGACATCTATGTAAATCCAATTTTTTATTTGCTTTTTATTAATTTTAATGAAAAGTTGGAGTTATACTTCCTATTCTATTTTCACATTTCAATTAAAGCGTATTGATTTTTTAAATGATCCAGCACAAAACGAATATAATTGAAGTTTTTTACGTCAATACCTCATTACAAGTCTCTTAGAGCATAGTGCCATGTTACATGACAATGTTAAATTCCAGTCCCTTTTATAAAAATTATTCAAAGAAAATATACTATATATTTTTTGTTCGAGCTATTGAAATTGAGATATTGAATTTTAGCGTAGTACATAGAAAAAATGTCCACGTAATTATATAACTATATGAGTCAATACTGAGACTTAATAGAATAACCATACTAATGACGTTTAAATGCAACTGCTTTATTGGTTAAATATACAGTGAATGGAATCTATATCAAACACAAGTGAATAAAGATGAAAATTTCTAAATACTCAGTTCATGAATAAAATACGACAAATTCATTAGAAGAGAGGCGAAGGATACCAGAGGGACATTCAAACTCATAAGTCGAAAATAAACTGACAACGCCATGGCTAAAAATGAAAAAGACGAACAGAAAAACAACAGTACACAGCATAGAAAACCAATAAAGACTGAGCAACACGAACCCCACCAAAAACTGGGGGTGATCTCAGGTGCTCCGGAAGGGTAAGCAGATCCTGCTCCACACGTGGCACCCGTCGTGTTGCTCATGTAAGAACAGACCCGGTGATAAGTCTAATTCGGTAGGTCACATTTGAAGAGAGCAACATACACACTATTTCTAATTCGAAACATAAATTAGGCTTAGAAATTCTCATTTCTTCTAAGAACTTGTAAAAATTGCCGATTTGGAACATGAAATAAAAAATCTTGTCAATTTCATACCTTATGGAGGCAATCCATTTCTTCAATATGTTGCTTTATCAATACTTTATTTTTCAGGATACATTATGTGGAAATAAGTGTGTTGGATCTCTTATTGAAACGCTTTCAAATAAACCAGGTCTTCGCCTTAAAGAAGAACTACTACTGCAGGCAAAAGATTTCATTCAACAATATTACATAGCCATAAAAAGGTAATATTTATCAACTAATTTTCTATTCATTCAACACCCATATGAGTAAAATTCAATCTCTTATATCACATATATTCATGTTTTATTGAATCATGAATTTTCCTGACGAATAAACATTTTGAATAAAAAGAAACACAAAGCATTTTCCTTATAGAGGGATAGGTAGTATAATAGGAATGATTCTCCAGCAATGAAGACAAGGGTATGGACAAAACAATCATTCTACCAACCATTATGAAATGATTCCTTGAAGAAAGTTAAAATCTATATAAACCGTGATTCAAATCAACTCACATCCATTTACGCTTTACGGAAGATTCGTATGATTCCGTATCGTGATGAATGTACGCATGTTTTTAGTGATTTATTTTATTTGTTTGGCTTTATTTCAAGAATACAGTAAGAATACAGTTAGTCTAAATTTTTGGCATAATATATCCTGTGTTTATAATATTCCCAATTATTTCAGTAGTTTTTTTAAGTTTATAAGTAGGGAGTTGGGTTGTACCAGCTATTGGATAAATGGGAATTTCATATACATACATATGTTTAAAGTTTTTTTTCATAATGGAAAGGTATATCATTTAATTCATTGAAACACAGTTTGCGATACGACAAAAATCAATAGTAATTATAACCAGGCTTTGTTATGGGACCAGACTCATAGATATTAACTCATTTGCAATATTCAATGATTCCATACCTTCTATTGGCATTGATTGGATCTCTGCAAATAACTTCATTATACATACTATTAGACCTAGTTTTTCAAGTATGCATTGATCAATGTTATTTTCAAATGAAGACAAGAAAAGCACAAATAAAGACTGAAAGGTTCGCTGCTTTATAAATTTTTCACCTTGCATAATTTTTTTAATTTAGTTTACATTTTCAAGTTTAGCAAATATTGGCTTTTTGTGATTCATCCGTTGTTCGTACACAAAGAACATTTTCACAATGACTTACACAGTACTTCACTGCATTATATATATAAATATGCAAGTAAAAGCTTCTCCAAAAAGCTTGTCGTCTTATAGCTTATTAATTTTTTTTTTTTTGCTTTGTTGTTTCATACATTCAGAATATTGCTCTTCATACGACTTGTAATGGTGTAAAAAAAATAGTGGACTAGAGGAAAGGCCCATATAGTATTTTAAGGTTTCCAATAAAATCTATAAGAGAAAATCATTTGAGTAGTGAGTGCACTTTACGTGTTTCTATCACAGCCGAAAGCAGCTGGAACATACAATTTGTCTTTCACAAAACATCGTCTTATTAGGAAACAACTGAACAGATAACTATAGTTTTGTTCCCAAAATAAAACAACCATGGCATTTTTGAATCCTCTTCGCATTTAATCAACCTTCTTCATTTTGTTTGGAAAACATGCAAACTTGAATGATGATATATTATAATTAAATACCTAACTAAAAGGCATATTAATAGAATGTGTTTTATCATCAAGACAGGTAAACGCGAAATCAGAATTGGAAAATATGATAGTCATTGTAGCGTCTCGATGGCAACACATATTTGAGGTCATCTTCTAAATCTACCTACCTCATTATTTTCTTCATGTTCATAGTAATGATTCGATAGAACACAAAGAAAGATGGACAGAGGTGGAGAATTCCATTGTAAACACAGGCACATACCATCTAACATTGAAAGAACTAATTTTTGGTGCGAAACAGGCTTGGAGAAATGCACCTCGATGTATAGGACGGATACAATGGTCCAACTTACAGGTAAATTATTTTCACTTCTAGATGCATACATGCACTTGATGTAATGTTTAGGTCTGTTCGACGAACATGTCCTGAAATGGGCATGTCCCGTTAGTTGTTTGCAATACATATGTAAGACTTAAAATTACACGATTTTGACCCTTCAGTCATATATTTACTTTTTCAAATCAAATCAGTGGAAACTATATGTGAATTAGTCTAAACTAAATTCTCAAATCATACCCTTTTTGGAAGCGACAGCAGATACCTATATGTATTGGATAACCTCAGATCTCGGTACACTAGAAGGGCCAAACAATGAAATACTAGCATAAAAACATAACATGTTTCTCAACAAGCCTTATATACTATATTTCATTGGACTGCAAAGCCAATTATATATAATGGTGATATTGTGTTAAGGTAATTGTGTCCAATCATCACACCATATTACCGTCTACTGGTACTGCAGATGCAATATGAATTCTATGCGACTGTCATACAAGTGAGAGGTTTAGCTATAGTATATATATATAGGTACAAAACCAGGTTAAGTCCACCGTATGCATTTTCTACATAAATAAATGCCTGTATCAAATAAGAAATATGACAGCTGTTTTCCATTCGTTTGATGTGTTTGAGCTTTTGATTTTGCTATTTGAAAAGGGACTTCCGTTTTGAATTTTCCTTCGAGTTCGGTATTTTTGTTATTTTACTTTATGCGGAACAGGTCAACATCTATTGTTCACGACAGCAAAATCAATTGTTTTAATGGCAGTTGGGAACACAAATCCTATTGAATCTGACGTATGGATAGCCGGTAATAGGGAACGCTCATAACTGATAAATGTACAACAAATAAGATAAATGTTTGGATTAATTTTATGTAAATGCTTAGTAAGTTCTTTTCTAAATAATAATAATACAATGTCAGAGAAAGCAAGCAGTTTAGAAGATCAGTAAAATTAGTAATATTTATGTATGATATTTGAATCGTTTAACCAATTTTCCTCGTTACACGTAAGGAGATAGAATATATAATTAATGGTTTTTGTTTGAGTATTAAACAATTTGTGTGAAATTCAATAATAGATGTGTTGCAAACGGTTTAACATGTTCGTAGAAATCTTATATATAAATTTCAATCTTAATATGTGTTTGTATTATGATTAAGTAGCTATACAGATTTTTATTCTTTTTTTTTTTCATTTTACAGATTTTTGATGCCCGTGATGTAAGGACAGCTAGAGAAATGTTTCACAGTATCTGTCATCACCTGAAATATGCAACCAACAATGGTAAAATAAGGTAGATATTTCATATTTTGTGTTGTCTCATTTGACCGATTGCCTCTGCCATACTGATTGCCGGTAGTAGAATGTTAAACTTTAAATAAGGAGTCGTTACATTTTTTTTGAAATCAAAATTGATTGCCGTATTCTGAGGATGTCATGAAGAACTTCGCAAAAAAAAAAAAACCAGACAAGTTTGCGGTTAAACAGTTTAGTTTCTAAGGCGTATTAACTGTTTGATATCGTATCGATTGATTGATTGATTGATTGTTGTTTGCTTAACGTCCAGTGGCAAATATTTCATGCATGTTCAGGACGAGAACAAATTAACAATAAATACAATAGGTAGGTCCGCTAATGGAGGTCAACTGGGTTACAGGTCTGGAAAATTTAGAGTGCCACGGGAAAATGTGGGTATATTGGATAAGGACAGACATTTAGCCTTGCAACAGGCCACCTATGGACCCCTCAAAGAGTTGTTGCAAGGGTTCTTAACGTGCAGACAGCGTGACACTCTCTCTACACGAGGCATCGAATTTAACGTCCCCATACTGGCTTGACGTGGCTGCGTACTTGATACATCCCGCACAGCCAAACGGACGCCCTACTTTGGCAAGGGTTTTACTGCCAGCGGAAGAAGACCTGCAGTGACTTGGGGTTGATATCGTATCGAAATCTTCAAAACCCAAAATGCAATATGTGGCGGTAGTCTGATCTGCTAATCCTTTGTAAGGCCAGAAGATGAAAATAATAAAATCTTATCGACAATTTCAGTTTTTCAAATCATAACAACGGTTTCCCCCAAGATTAATACAATATAAAAATAAGGAGATGTGGTATGATTGCCAATGAGATAACTATCCATCAAAGTTCAAATGAAGTGGATAACCATTACTAAAATATATACTACTATTTTTTTCAGTTTAGAAGATCACATTAGCTATGTAATTTAACAACGTATTATATATTTTGAGTCCATTTGGAGTTTAATTGACGTTTTTGCTGTCCTTTTTCTCATCACATCACATAAGAACGCACTTTGGTTTACAAATCGTAATGCTTTATATACAAATGCATCATTTACAAGGACACTTAGCATATCCTTTACACTTTGACCATTTCAGATCAGCCATAACTATTTTTAAACAAAGAACTGATGTGAAGCATGATTTTAGAGTATGGAATTCACAACTGATAATGTACGCTGGGTATAGACAGTCAGATGGTTCTATCATTGGCGATCCTCTAAATGTCGATTTTACATCTGTAAGATTAAATGTTATTGTTTCATTTTTATTTTTATTTGACATTTCTCGATCCATTCTGTGTATCATAATATTTTGTTTCTTCGCTAAATAATTAAGGCAACAGCAGTTTACTGATTTTCAAATCTCGTAAATCGTTTAAAAAGAGACACATGAAAGTGAAAAAAAGTAAGTGAAACTCCAAAAGGAGGATGACCGGGTGCGTCGACAAGGTAAGCGTCTCCTTCTATGCATGCCTCACCCATTAAAATGTCACAATCGGTTAAATTACAGATCAGACGGCTATACTGGTATCTAAAGATCTAAGACCGCGAAAACATGTATCTATTGAATTGAGGAAATGAAATATCGTATTGGTTAACCAATTTGGTTAATAGTCACTGTTAAACATTCTATTGAGGACATGATATAGAATTACATCTAAAAATTCACAGAAATAATACTTTGTTTAAAAGTACCGTTCAATCTTTTTAAACCACGTTTTGACAACTTAATGTCTGCTATTGAAAAATTAGTTTGTGCTATCACATATATATTTTTCTTCTACTCCCATCCTTTTTAAATTTATTGAAAAAAATAATAACCCATTTTCTTAACAGAGATATCATTAAAAAAAATCATATTAAAGTTAATAAAGGATCTTGATTTTAATGATTACTACTCATTCTATTGACATAAAGGAAAAACAACTTAAAGGACCCATTGATTGACTTAACACATAATTGTAAAATCCATGGGTTGTAAAAACGTGTCATTTTCCAGTATTTGTTGATTCTAGGTTATAGAAATTCTCAAAACATTGTGTGGCACCTTGTCCTCATTTTACTTCAAATGATACTCAAAACGATCTTTGTTCCTTTTCACAATGGAAAACAGTAGAGGCCTCTAATGACGTGAAAAAATGTAAAATACCGTTATATCATTTGTATTACCTTGAAGAAAGATACAAAAAAATATATATATCAAAACTGCTTGAAGAAGCCAAATTAATTTCAGTTTGACAAGAAAGACGCTGTTATATAAAGTATAATTATAAGAAAAGAAAACATATACTTTAATCAATTAATTTTGAATTTTATAATGAGGATTATAAAAATTAGAGAATGAACGATTATATGATTTTTGAAAGTATAATATAGCGATAATGAACTCTAGATGCCAAAATTTTAAAGTGTATTTATTTTAAAATACATTACGACACGTCAATAACAAATGGAGGTTTTTTTAGAAATGTAAAAAGATGTTTACTTGTAATTACCAGTTCGAGATAGAGATCTGGACGCTTTATCTAACCAGATATGACCAGCACTGTGAGACCCGAAGTGCATCATTGTTTTAATAAGCTTTCATTTCTACGTAAAATGCCCGTACCTAGTCAGGAGTATGACAGTTGTTTACCATTTGTTCTATTGGTTGATAAAGTCTAACGTTTGATTTTGTCAGTTTTTATGGATATCCCTTTTTACATTGGAGTTCGGTATCTTTTTTTACACAATGCTGCCGTTCACAAAACGTTCCGTCAGAGCTTAAAATGTATCATTGTGAAATATGTTTGAGTAAACCTTGTTTTTATTTCCTCCTCAACTAAACACTTTTGTAACGATATTATAAAAAAAAACAGACATTATTCATTAGAAACTACTGCAGTTAAAAGCCTAAGTAATTATTTTGTAACTGATCAGAAAGGTTTTTACCTACGAAACTGCAGCTCTAGTATATATATGTTTGTTTAAATTAGATGAACTTGATTAAGTTTTAGGCGACCGTTTTACAGGACGTTTGTTGTATATAAAGGACAATGTTAAAGACTGTAAGGGCGCAAGTTCCACAACAGGAAAAATGCCTCCCAACACACCACAACACACACTGTCAGCCAAATAATAGCACAAAAAGACATAATATTTGCTTCATTCTGCTTCATTTGGACTGTGTTTGAATATTGTCGAATTAGTAATAATACCAAATATCGCTTTTTGTGATAATTGTGACCTCTCTGATTAAGACAGAAGGGACTTTAATGCATATATATCTTTATTAAGAAACAAAAATATTTTCCATTACAATTTACCGACACGGCGTCATAAAACTACATTAAAATAAATATTTTTCTGATCAATTTTTTGGTAACAAAGAATTTATAAACAACATTCAAATTTTGTAGTTATATGAAAATGAAAAATAAAACATTTCACATCCTATATTTTACGGAAATATTGTACTAAAAGCGCGGAAATCACTATGTGAACCTTTAAACAAACTTATAAGTAAAGGTTATCTTACCAATGTTGTAATTAGATCTTTGAATATAGTTTACGTTGGCACAAATATCGATTTTGTCATCAGCAAATTAAAACATAACTAAATTTGTATTCTTTTCAAACCTTTTTTTGGGATGTATAAATACACATCCACGTTCATTTTCTATATAGAAATTACTCTATCTATATATTACATTATACATATTTATTAACAGGTTAACTCCTAACTATCCTACTGCCTGTCTATAGTTTTATTTTGGCATTGCACAAGTCATGTCTTCTTTGACTGTCCATGTCGTTAAAACACTAAATCCCTGGGATGTGTTTTAGTTGATTTTGATTTTAGTCTCTGATGCATGATTTTTTATTTCAATTGTTTTTTGCTTTTAACTAACTTTTGGTAACTGCGAGTACTCTCAAATCGTACTTTCGTGTAATTTGACCTGTTGATACAATTTGCAATGTATTTTTGTTATTTAATGTTTACTTATTCAGTGTTACATCTATCTCTCTATTTTTAATATATACCACCTTTGATAAGAGTTTAGTATGACGATAAATTTTCACTTTTGTTCTCGTACTAGGAACTTCCTCTTCTTCTCTCAGTATGAGCTTCCTTTTTAAGGAACTCCAAGGATAACATCCTAGTATTGGTTATATTTACATATATAGATATAGGAAGATGTGGTATGAGTGCCAATGAGACCACTCTCCATCCAAGTTACAATTTATAAAAGTAAACCATTATAGGTCAAGGTACGGCCTTCAACACGGAGCATTGGCTCACACCTATGTATTTTTAAAAGTTAATGTTCCAACGGTAATAGTAAAACTTTTCTATTCACACATAAAATCTAACTGTCATTTATGAATAATAAAACTCAAAGTATACCGACTGAAAACTGCTTATTTCAGACCGTCAACCATCCATTGCCTCAAGCAACTTTAAGCGTTTTATATAAAATTTATAGCACATCTCCCTAGTTTTGGCTTCTTTCGTGTTCATAATATTTATATCTGCTAGTATTTGAGAAAAAATGTCTACAGTCTATAATTAGCCTTACAATGTTTGGTTTTAGTTGAAACACACTGTGCCAGACTTCTTCTGTTGAATGTTGAATAACATAGTCCTTGATAGGTTCAAAATATGCAATTCTAGTTTCGGATAACAGTGGACAATCCAAGAGAAAATGAGAGATATTTTCCTCATAAAGATTACATAACTGACAAGGTGGAGAAGGTGATTGATTAAATTTCGCTCTATCACAGTTGAGTATAAATGTTCCTGAAACTATTCTAGTTTAAATAATAGCCTTTCGAACTTCAGCTTTTGTCTTGTCAAAGATATTCCAGACTGGATGATTTTTGCCAATAAGAAGGTGATAGTTGATTTGGATTCAGCTTCGTCCTTTAATTATTTATTTTGTAAAAATCTATTTCCGTACTCCATGTATACCTTACAACAAAATTATTTTTATTTACCTGTGTACGTTATTTTATTTGGCGGCATTTTGTCCAAGGTTATGGTTGTCTTTCTGATATTGTTTTACATCTAACCCCCTTGTTTTATTAATTTTGTATTTACATTGTGTCATAAATCAAATTTATCCGTTCAGTGTATGTTCACTTGTTTTTGTTAATATGTCTTTTGATTGAGTTAAGCCATTTCAATTGATATTTTATAGTGCGTCTTTCTATGTTGTGAAGTTACACTATTGTTTCAGGTAGGGTGAATGTTGGCGCCTATCGAAGCGCTTGGACCCGCTGCGTTTGTTTGCAACTGTCCTAGAGCGGGAACCTAGTGTTCAGTGGTTGTCGTTTGTTGATGTGGTTCATAAGTGTTTCTCGTTTCTCGTTTTATATAGATTAGACCGTTGGTTTTCCTGTTTGAATGGTTTTTACACTAGTCATTTTTGGGGCCCTTTATAGCTTGCTGTTCGATGTGAGCCAAGGCTCCGTGTTGAAGGCCGTACTTTGACCTATAATGTTTTTTTTTTATAAATTGTGACTTGGATGGAGAGTTGTCTCATTGGCACTCATACCACATCTTCGTATATCTATTTGGTATAATATTGCTTTGAATTTAAACTTTATCATGGAATATCACAAAGGCCAAAGTTCTTTAATGGATCCATTTCAAAAACATTAATGCTAGTTAACACACATCTCTTCATAATAGTATATGATCGGCTACAAAGACAGGACAATGTGAAGAAGTTGTCAAAATACAATGATTTAGTGCATTTGTCGAACCTAAATACTAAAGGAACCCTTGGCCGAAAACCACAATCCAAAATGTTCTTCAACGAAAAGGTGCGAATGTTTATATTGAATTCATAAAACAAAAGAGTTATTGATCGGGGATGGCGACCACAATTAATTATGCTAAAAACTGTCATAAATTACGAACAAAAATGGACTAAAACTGACGTTACAACACAAATAATACATAATTAAAGAATCATAACTTATATACCTTTGTTTTTAATGTGAGGTGCCAAAAAGACTTATTTTGAATTAATAGTTATCTCACAACTATATAGTATACAAAATGATATATGAACAGGGTCAATTTTAACTCTCGTGAATCTACCCCTTATATTTAAATAATCGAATGACAGTTCTTTCTGCATCTTTATTTGTATATATTATATATATATTTAATTTTTCAGGTTTGCATCGAAATGGGATGGATAGGCAGGAACGGTTTGTTTGATGTTCTTCCTCTAGTCCTGCAGGCAAATGGATGTGATCCAGAATGGTTTGAAATACCTTCACATTTGATAATGGAGGTTCATATTACTCATCCAACGTGCGTATTGGTTATAATCACATGTTTATATTGCTTTACTAAGGTATACATTGTTTAATTTACAAAGTGATATTATCCAATTATACCTTACTTATCATGCTTATGGACATAGAAATTAGAATTTTATTTAAGAATTAAATGCTTCTTTTTGTAAATTCATTGGGGTGTAAAAGCGTTGACCGAAGTACGTTTTGTACGAAGCGTGGAAGCGCTTCATTCTAAAAATGTACGCACGGTCAACGCTTTTACAACCCTATGAAATTACTAAAAGAAGCATTCAATACTTATAATTATATTTTTTCGCTATGATCATGAAAACACGATTACTATCATTTTTTTTCTTTTATTTACCTGTGCACTTTATTGGGGAACGTGTGTCATCATGCATGTTACAATTCATGAAATGCATTTTGAAATGAAGAATGACGCGAGATTTCTGTTAGCCAATCAAAATAACGTATAATAATGAAACATACATCTAATGTAATTATTAGTTGTTATTGGCTTTGAACTTGCTTTCAGTATCTGCGAGTACTCTTCGATCAGTACTTCGAGTGTTTTGTTTTTATATTAGTAGTTTTTTGTGCTACCGATTTGAAGAGTCAAGCAATTCTCATCTGATGTTTACAGTGTGTTCTTAATTTGTGTTGCTACAGAATTTTCTCAGGATAGTGGAGGGATGAGCGCTCACAAATATGTTTAATCCTGCCATATTCTGTATATGCCTGTAACAACTTAGGAGCCTGTAATTAAGTGGTTCTCGTTGATTGAATACAGTTATTGGTTAAAATCATCAAATTTAAAGATGGCATGTTAAACATCTGATGAAGTCCCTCAATTGCTTTAAAATCCACATCAATTTTATTATATTTTTCATTGTAATTAAAACAAATTAATAATGTAGGAAATCTGCTGTGAGCAAATTGAAGACCTCCAAAAATGTGAGTACCAAGGTTGTTTGACCATCGGAAACAAAGTGTTACATTAAAGCCCCTGGCTTTGGGTAACAGTTTCGTCTTCAGGTTAAACATACCTAAAGTCGATTTCCTTAAAATTTGTCAATAACTGTCGATGGTTAAATTTTAAACCACAAAATCTTTTCTATAAGTGTAACATATTAATGCAATTCTGATGTCTTGTAGTCATCCCAGCCTTGCTGATCTTGGTTTAAAATGGTTTTGTGTGCCAGCTGTTTCTGGTATGAAGTTTGATTGTGGTGGGCTAGAATTTACAGCTTCTCCATTTAATGGCTGGTATATGAGCACCGAGATTGCTTGTAGGGACCTCTGTGATAAACAACGATACAATCTAGTAGAGGTAAAACATTGAAATATTTGTACTTTTTACCACGAATGAATGACAATTTAACTTTGTAACCCGGATTTGTTCTCGCTTTATCGATTTATGGCTATTGAACAGCGGTATAATACTGTTGCCTTTATTTATCTTCAGAAACTACTAGATTATGGAATTCAAGCACATGATGCCCATCAATAGTGTTCTCTTTTTAATACCCTTGATTTTGAACATAAATGTCTTTCGCTATTTAGAGATTTCAATCATACCAAGTACTTAGAAACTAATACCGATAATGAAGAAAATGAACATGAGATTATTTCAAATACAAAAATGGCATTTTACGTTAAAATTTAGGCGAATTATAATGGTTCCAAACACCAAGGAAAGGACTGCTTATACTCATCAAAGATATATAAAAGGTCTCCAATTGAGTACGCCAGACTAGCATTTCGTCTACACAAGACGCATAAGTTCTCGAATTAAAACAATAGGTAGGCCAAATCAATTAAAAGTCAAAACGCATTGAAAACTAAATTCTCAAAAAAAAGTTCAGGCCATCTCTGCACAGGGTTAGAAAAACCTTAGTATTTCGAATGATTATAAAAGTTTTATGAACAGTAAACTTAAAACAAAATGACGTACTAAGGATACTACTTGGATGGTGATACCCTCGAGGTCAAAACATCACCAGCAGTGGCTTCGGCCTAGTAGTTTATAAAACCCATCAAAGATTCTATGCTAACAATTGAGTACACCAGCCGCGCCTTTCGTCTACACAAGACACATCCGTGGCTTGAATCAAATTAGTTGCTGAAACGCAGTAAAATAACATATACTTTTTGTGTATATGCGTACAGGCAGAGATTGGAGTACACTATTCATGTTCAGTTAAAATGGAAAATATAGTTATGAAATCCACGAACAGGGTTAACATATTCATACCATAAGCTCTCCAATTTAAAATTTATGATAAAGTCCCCATTTATGTATAGGAAAGCATAAAAGGTAAAACACTGTGGCGCAATTGTCATTCAAATGAGTGGATCATGACGATTTTTGGATATAGAATCCCGTTTTTCTTTTGTTAAATATAGCAATGCTCATATATTGCCATGACCCTTCATACAAATTAAGGAAAAGCTTAAATTCTAACAAAAATAAATAAGTGAGGCACAATGATAAGGTACCCACGAAATATTCTGTGAAAGATATATTTGATTCGTGTTGACCGACGTTAGAATGAATATGCATACAAATCCGTTTGAATGAAAAAAGAACAGAACAAATGTGATATTTGGTTATATATTTGAATCCTAGGACCTTATCACTTAACATTGACAATAATGCATGTTATTCAATGAACGAATATGAAGTGCTAGCAAAATATCTAGTTTTGGATTCACTCATGATTGTTTCTGTTCCAAAGTCGACCTTAGATTGTTCAACTTTTTATGAATATAAGGATCTCTATCATTACTATCCTACCTCAGCCTTTCGATTCTATTCCAAACAAAAATATGAATAGGAAGGCTACTACTAACCAAAACAAAATTAAATCCCTGAAATAGAAACACTTGTTCTATTGATACCTTTTTTTTTTAGTAAAAGTGTTGAATATCAATTGAATTTTTATTAATAAAAACACTGTAGGTTTGTATTTTACGTTATATATAATTTGATGATCATATTTTAGTAATCTTACACAATGAATAAAAGTATTTGTTAGTGAGCATTGTATTTTGTTTTTGTAGAAAATAGCACAAAATCTAGGAATGAACACACGCCATAACGCGTCATTATGGAAAGACAGAGCAGTAATTGAGATAAATGTTGCAGTTCTTCATAGTTTTCAGGTAAAAATCATCTTTACTGCTAAAGCTAAAGACGGATTTTGGGAAGTCGAATTTTAAGCTCTTTTTAGATCAAATTGAACAGTAGTTTAGTAGTGAATTATATAATATAATAGTCTTTACATATAATGTAAATGCACGTTCCATTTTTTCTATCTATCCATGCAGTCGATTGGTGCTACTATAGTTGATCATCATTCAGCTTCCGATTCGTTCATTGTCTTTATGCAAAATGAGTACAAACAACGAGGGGGTTGTCCTGCTGACTGGGTATGGATAGTTCCTCCACTGAGTGGCAGTTTAACGCCAGTGTTTCATCAAGAAATGGTTATGTTCAAACTCAAACCGTCATATGAATATCAGGTATGTAAAAGTGTTTTTAGTTGACGAGGAATTTTTCTTTACGGAAAAAATCTCCCTATAGTCCAGCTGATTCGTGCATATTTTTGTGGGTTTGATGATAAAAGCATGAAACTTTGCACAATTGTAGATATATTTGGTGGTAAATGTAAGCTATGGATCCACTTTGAAAATCCAATATGGCCGCCATTTTCAAGATGTCTGCCAATCAGTCCATATTTCACAACCATGTATAATTTAATGCAAGTTATATTCAAAACAAATCAGTTAAAAACATATAAAATATAATCCAACGTTTTTAGTAAGTCATGACGTTACATTAGACTTTTTCAAAATGGCCGCCAAAAAGAGAAAATGAATAAAATTAAGACAAGGCTTTGCTGACATTACTTCTATCGAATTGCATTTTGCAGTTCATACACTATTCTAGGGATTGCTTGCAAGACAATTTAATCAAAGATCCCATACATGGAAACATTCTAACGTTTCCAGGACGCCATCAGGATTTTTTTTAGCGTTAAGTACCATCTGAGTCACAAATGATAATGGATATCTTCCACTTCCCTTGCCACAATCCTTTTTTCCTCGATTGTGGTAAGATCAAGATGTTCACCGAATTTCTACTTGTAATGAGTAATATCACGAGAGCTACCAGTTGGCCAACACTACACATCCTTCCGGAAAACCTGCAATGTCTGTGTTGTCAACTAGTGAACGTCTTGTTTATCCATCGTACAAGCATAGGTAACCTCATTTCATTTCAAAAGTTCAAATTCGGTCATGTTTTAAATTTTGTGATTCTAAGGGTTAGAAAAGAGACATTTATAAATCTAATTTTATATGATATATGCCTTTTTACTAGATATGACTCATCAATCTATTTAAACAAAAGCATTATGGCAGGTGTCACTTGTTGAATAGGAACTGCTGACCCTTCCTGAGCACCTGCAATCCTCCCCGGTTTTGAGTGGGATTGGTGTTGCTCAATTGTTAGATATTTGTGTAGGGATTTCTTGACTGCTGTTAGCTTATCTTGCGTTTTTTATCTATTTTCTGATCTGTTTTGTTTTACTAATGATTTTTGAGTACCTAAGTATCTTCTCCCCACCACAATTTAACAGCACCGTACATAACATCATTGTCGTTGCGTATTTTCATCTACCGTGACATCAATTTTATACCTGCCAACCACATTTTTTTAGCTCATCACACAATGCTGATACCTTTGTGTTAAATGTCTAATAGGGTATATGTCATCCGCATTTACTCAAAGTAGCACTCTTGGTAAAAGGCCGAAACATTCCCCTGCCTAATGCTTTCACATGCTTTGAGAATGTCCTGTCTTTGCTTTTCAACGGTTCCTGTTGTAGAACATCATGTGGTTTACCTGATCACGTTATATCAATTCAAAGGTTGATGGAAACATATTAATAACTATTGCCATTTGTAGACAAAACTCCATTAAGTGCTGTAGTTGTGCGAAATTGATGGTCAATCAAATAGCCCCACCTTCTCTTTTTACAAGTGTGTAATTCTACTCATGGGCTTGATCTATATTTACCATTTTCAAATTACGTTTGCAACACTTAAACTGTATAGTTAAATTGCAAAATATCGCGCACAGGTACTGGAAGCCATAATTTGGATGGAAAAATTCAAAGAACCAATGAATAAGCAGTATAATGGAATCTTTATTCACCTAGAAGGAACATCATCTCAATGATCTAACATCAATATGTCAAGTTCAATCTTTGATGTTACAGACCAGTTGTGGTTAAGTGGACTCTCAATTTCCCTCTAATTACTCAATTCTTTGAATGTTACATAGTTATCACCACGGTCTCGTTTCTCAGTAAAAATCATGTTAGGATCTTTGCATAAGAATGAGAAGTATTCTTACTGTAACCTCATGGAGATGTCCTGTTCATGATACCTGAGACCCTTTAAAACAGAATCTGCCGTTCGCGAAGTTATATGGTTCAACAACTGTTTTCTAACCAATCACATAAGGTTCTTCACAATGCCATTTCTATATCATGTATATGAAGACCTAAACAAAACTATTTTTGTTCTGCTAGACATCTGTTTGCTCAGTTCTACTGTTTCGAAATTGGAAAAGCAAAAAACGATTGATCACAAGTCATAATTGATACATGTCTCGGAAAAAATTAACACATTGTTGGGTTGTATTTCTTGAATGTAGACTCGTTGTGACAGATTTGATCTCTTCCTGAAACATTGGTCAATACGGACTGATATATAAAGGCGAAACCATTTGTCTTGGCTCTACATGCGTAGAATGCTGTGATGACATATTTTTCATTATCATATGTTTCAAGCCATCTGTGTTATAATTTTGTTAATTAATTTATACCATGTAAGGATAGAGTTGCACAATTGACTAATTATACAAGGTTGGTATACATTTATTTCTGGTTAGACAAATGACAGTGCATTTTCATAAAACGGTAATTATTAGATGTAAGTATGAAACGCATAGTTATTTTTGTTTAGTAGTAACGATATATCTTATTCTTACTATAGTAATATATTCTAAGTTATAGCAATAGTAAGAACAGTTGTGCTGGCGCATAATATATGGGTTAAAGTACACGAAATTATAAGGGAAATGCATATATTTCAAAGCACAAGGTTATGAGTAATTTGCCAAGTTAATGGCCTTGCAAGCCTGAGATTATTTCAATTGTTTTAGATCATTACTATGTACTCTTTCAGTTGATCATAAAGAAAACTGTTCGAGTCGAGAAGTATACATTCTTATTAAGTCTAGCTTAAATATTGGAATAACGCTAGTGTCTATACGTAATCCCTCGTTGTAGACTACCGTTCAGCAAGAATGGTACCGGAGTTACGATTTTCTATACTTTCCTCACAAATCTTTTGATGTTTGGCTTAAGTATATAAATGTGGCATAAACATGGTATTATAGGGCACTTAGTTTCATTGAAGGTACGTCAAAACAAAACATTTTGTAACCTTCTATAAGGGATATTTGTTGATTTTGATAACTTATGGCGGCCATCTTTGAAAAAGTTGCCATATTGAAATTTCAATTTGGGTCCATAGCTAATTATGTTCGAGTACTACTAACATGACAAATTTGAACTAATGTAACGGATATTTGTTGATTTTGATATTTTGTGGCGGCCATATTTGAAAAAGCCGCCATATCAAAATTTCAAGGTGGGTTCATAACTAATATATTTTGAAACTCACTGCATTTCTATTATGCCACATTTGACCTTAAATGTCACCATATATAGTGATATATGTTGAATTTGATATTTTATGGCGTCCATCTTGGAAATAGCCACCATTTTGAAATTTCAAAGTGGGTTCATAGCTAATATTATTTGAAACAACCAAAAGTACTACCATGCCAAATTTGGTGCTTTTATCATCAAACCCACAATTTCATCACCAGTTTGCCGGACTACTATGAAATACCTATATTGTTGAAAAAACATGCATATACATGTAGCTTTACAGAAACGTCTCATTGAAATGAGGGTATGGAACATCATAATTTTGTAATTCCTCTTTTGTCAATGATGTCTTACAACATTATCTCTGTAAACAAATGTGTCTTCTACCATTTTATCCTTCAATTATTTTTAGTTACATGGCAATAATTTGCCGATTGGTTTTTTGGATATTCAAAAAAAGACTTTCTCCAATACTAAATCAACCTTGCAACATTGTTATAGAAGGAAAAACAAAGATCACAGACAAAATTATTATGCAATAGATTACATTTTTTATAGATGTTTACCAATACACTGTACGAATCCATATTAAAGATCTATAAAATATCTACACCTCTTGTTATAACATAGCATCATGCTCATTAGAGTTGAAAACAAAGCATAAAAGCCTTAAATTACATGTGTTTTGTGGCATAGACAACTAATGATTAAGAAACACGAACAGCAACTTCTACAAACCAAAAAAAAAAAAAAAAAAATAACAACACCAACAACAGCAAACGGGGGATAAATTCAGGTTAACTGAACATTTCTTGTTGCTCATGATAAGTAAAAATCGGATGGTAGGTTGTAATCTAAGATGTCATAAACGAGGAGAAGATGACGTAATCGTGGCGTCGACAAATAAACAAGGAAAGAAAGACGTGACTGTCGATTGTGGCTACGACAAATAAATGAGAAACCGAAGACGTGATAGTGACGTCGATTATATAAACGAGCAGAAGAGGACGTGACTGTGGCTACGACAAATGAAACACATTCGTATATTATTATGTACTGATATCGAATTATTCGTAGAAGACAAAAAATGAAATACCTGCTATAAACTATGTATTCCCATACAGTTTCAATGTGATAAAAATCCAATACAATTAGACAAAACTACTAAAGTAACTTATAAATCGGGAGGTGCTAACGTTAAAAGGGAAGTTCTGAAATTGATAAGCAACGTAAGAAAACCGGTGTCTGCAATAAATCTCTACAGAGTACAATCCTACAACAAACTTTAATATCTTGTCAAAATCATTCCATTCTAATAAATTCATTCAAGAAAGGAAGTCAACAGTTTTACTATTATACAGGAAGAAGTATGGAGAACATATGTTTGGAAAAAGGACAGATCAAAGAGACCTAAATCGCATAAAACTAAACTAAGTTTTAAATGCATTTCAAGGTAGGAAAATAAATCTAAGAACAAAATTTTGTATTATTTTTGTATGCTGAAAGGACAGTATGATAAAACATTTGTTTATGAGGAATAGCATACCAGTTCCATGCCTCTGAAAGGAACTGTAGTAACTATCTGGTAAGCAGTAAGTTGAGATATTGAAATTATATCAGTACACATAATTATAAGCAGGAAACAGATCTAGAAACACAAACCTAACCCAGTTGCTCTGAAGGGATCAGCAGTTCCTGCTTCCCCCTTTTGTTGTATGAAACACACATAATAAGGATAAACAGCAAACCAACAATAATTTTCCTCGAATACATGCATGTTAGTGGCTCATATACACAATTGAGTAACGCATGCTAACATAGGGATATGTGATCAATATAATCGTAAGTGAGATGACTATGCATATCGAATGAAACTAATCCATAATGAAATGATGTTATAAAGAACATAAAAGAGTAAAGGTATAACGGATATCTACTCTTTTTATTAGAATTTAGACGGGACAATTGTCAATTGTGGAGCATATTGGTTTACTGTGGTTCGCTAAATGTTCCGTTTGCTGTTCTTTTTGTTCATTTGTATTCCTTTGTACACATTTTGCAGAATTGAGTTGTCTGTTTTTTGTCTTATTATTTCTACTACACATTTCATTTCCTTCTACGGTATTAACTTTTTAAATTGTTTAATATTCTTACATGGAGTAGTTTGCCAAATCAATTTTATCTCTGTTTCCAGCGTTATATTTTTATGGACAAGTTTAATGAGGAAAGTATTATCCCAGCGTATTAAATGCACAATTCTGTATGCAACAGAGACAGGAAGATCGGAAAGATATGCAAATACACTGCACAAAATATTCAGACAAGCATTCAATTCACAGGTATGTATAGAATGCTTTACAATTTAATATAAGACATATTGTTGATTCGGGTACCTGCCTTCGTTTCAATTTATATATGAAGATCCTAATTGGATCTTATTATTTAAAAAAAACCTTATATTTTGAACAGTTATCAATAAAATGAATAAGGTTTTCTTGATACAAATATATTGTAATATGAAATCAGACCAGATTCTATAATATGGATATTAAAGAGGCACAGTGACTATGGTTTTCAAACCTAGTCAAATTTAACAATGTTGTCATTCAAATTAACACAATACACGTTCTCTCCATCAGATAGATGGATGAATTGCTGTTTAACGTACAGTAGAAAAATAAATGCCCATTGAGGACGAAAACATGATAATGTGATATGAATATAGACCCTTCTTTATCTTGACTGACACGCTGATCCGGAGTTTTTTAAGCGTGCCTGTTCACAAGGTAAACCTTATTATGTACGATTGGGAAGAAAAATTTGAACAGCCGAATACTTAGGACATCATATACTTTAAAACCAAACGAATTTGTATAACGAAATTGCAAAAAGAAACAGAAGATACCAAACACTTGAACGCTGCAGCCGAAAGTTTGCTTAACAAATTCTCATCAACTAAAAACATTTTTCCCTGTGGTCATTTCAGGCAAATAATAGTTGTCAAAATCAAAATGACTGTTTCAGTATTAAAAGAAGATAATACCATGGCTAAAACTAAAAATGGCGAAAAGAAAAACAAACCAAAAATGAAGAAAAGAAAATATTGTGATATAATCTTTAGAATGAAAATCAACACTAAAAGTATATTATTGAAATCATTATGGGCGAACTCCCTTGATTGGATCCTTGTAGAAGATATTACCCGTAAATGTCTATTTTCTATTTTCGAGAGTTGTCGCCTCTAGTGGTCTGTTACGTTATCTTATATTTTTATTAATTCCTGATGTTCTTTTTAAATGTAATTTTACGTTGAGATACTGCCATTTAAGTCTTTTCTACCAGCAACTTTGCTTTTGTCAATAAGAAAACTATATGATTGTAAGGTTTTATTTAAAACAACAAATTAGTAGGTAACTTATACCCATTCTTGCACTATATTATAATGTGCTAGCGGATACTATAGATATTTCACATAAGATTAAGTTGTCAGCAAATTACAAAAAGCATTACACATATAAGTAGAATCTTACTTTGAAACAGAAGTGAAAAAGTATAACAAAAATACCGAACTCCAAGGTAAATTAAAAAGGGGAAGTTTATTTTTCATCTGACAAAATCAAACGTTATTATCAAACCATTTAAGAATGTTTGCAGTCCCGTGGTTGTATCGATTAATAAGCCGACGCGTCTACATCTTAAAATCTAACATAAGACAATGCAATCAAAATGAAATGCTAAATATAATATGATTTTAGTACCCGTCGTTATACAAGACAATTTACTTATATTTAAGAGGTTCCAGTTAGTAAATATAAAGGTATGCTAACATAATTGACTGCAATAAAATGCAGCAAAATATTTTTGTTGTGAATTTTAAAAAGATATTTAAACAATTTTAATTTTTTACAAAAATAAACCTGTTGTGTAAATAATTTAAATGTTGGCAATATTAGGGTTTTAAAACTTTTATGTTTATACCGTATTTATAACAAAGGATATCTTTTGTATATATTCATAAACTAAAGTTAACTATAATTAAGTACACAGTAGTACCATAACCCTCCATGAAACATACGTTTCTTTTATGAAAAGTTACATAAAAATTTCTGTTTTTGAAGCCTTGCATTAAACAAGACTTAATTTGGCAGAAGTGATCCTTTGTGTAGAAAAACGATGTAATATTTGTCATCCATACGTATTTGTTTCTTGTATCGGTTGAATGAAAGTAACAGTATATTGGTCGAAGTTAAAAGACTCTGGTGACATGCACGACCAGTTGAAAAGTATTTACAAATGTATTTTGTGTTGTTTTAGTTCCTATTATAATACTAATGAAATATGCAGACATTTTTGGAAGAAAATACCAAATGTTGTTATTTTCATGCCGACCAATCAACTAGTTTTGATCGCTTGTTTGAGATTTAGTTTTGAATTGTAGGGAAAACCGTATGATATAATTAAAATTTGTAAAAAACGTTTTCCTGGAATTAATATCAAAAGTTTAATAGTCCAAAATATAAATCGTTAAAGAACAATAGCGTTAGAATTACAGCTACACCGTTCAAACTACAATTGGTGGACTGTAAAAAGAAAAATACAAAAATACCGAACTCCAAGGAAAACTCAAAACGGAAAATCCTTTATCAAATGGCAAAATCAAAAGCTCAAACACATCAAACGAATTTTAAGTGTTTCGCATCGTAGCCATGCAACTCCTTTACGTGAAGATCACATAACAAAATTTTTGTAGTTCACATTTGACGATATTTTTAAGAATTTCCAGAAGTTAATCTATTATTATTCGCAATAGAGGTTACTCGTTTGGTGTAATGAACTATGCCACTGAACTTTAAGCAACCAACTATCAATCAATCATTTAATCAACTCCTCCAAAATGCTTTAACACAGAGATGACAAACCTTCTACGTTGGTTACATATACATTGAAAACCCCATTTTCCGTACAAATTTGGCGTCCTTATGACTAATTACTTGAGGCGATTTGTTGTTGGTAAAACGTAGTAAAATCTCAGCTACATTTCGATTGATGGTACCAATGTAATGTAATCAACTCCCCTACAACTTTTACCAAGAGTCTTCAATTTTCTTGAATTTTTATACTTACATGTATATTTAAACTTTTATCTCCGACGTGAACACCATTTGGATAAATTTGGCAGCAATATCAATGGATAAATTTTGAAAATTTTATCTGTTTTTGCTACTTATAGCTCAGAGACCGATGAATAAATATTCTTCCTAGAGAACGACTAGATTTATTTTGGACGCAGTGCTTTTTAAAATAAGATTTGTTTTCCTAAACTTTAATTTGAAATAGTTGAAACATTAAATAGAAGAAAATTTAGATACTTAAATTGTGTTACAAATATGATCCCTAGTTTGCGCACTATTTCTCACCGGAACCTACTTCTGCTTGTAGTTGATATTCAGAGTAGTTAAAACAAAATATGACTGAATGTTTCCTATTGCGTTATCGTATAGTGTTGTTAAATTTATAAGTCAGTATTGCCATTGTTGAATATCATTGTTTTGCATTAACTCAAACAGAAAGCTCGAAACAAGCTTAACGGTCTTGTTCCTTACTATGTATCAACTAATTTGGTAGCCGATTTTGATCGATGTTTGTCCTTTTAAGGTGTTGAATATGGACAGTTACAATTTGAGGGATCTGCGACAAGAACAACTTATATTGTTTGTAACAAGCACATTTGGGAATGGCGATCCACCAGAAAATGGCAAGGTAACTGTTAAAAACATTTATGGAATTTTGCTTCTTAATTTTACATCAATTATTCCAAATGAGTATATCAAATAGAAGTGACAGAGACATCACTAAAATATCGATAATTCAGTTTAACATGAGTCAATGTGATATGGGGGAACATGTTAGATTTTTTTGACAAAATCAGTGACAATTAAGAAAACAAGACAGCCATATAAATAAGATGATAGTAATGAAATTACACAGAAAGTATTAGATAGAGAATTTAATTACAATGATGATGAAGGTTTGAAAACATGTGATCAGGAGGATAACGAGAAGTTTCTACGCTACAGGTTCTCGTCTTATTTCAATTCATTTTAAAATTAATGATTGATAAACTTTGGTTAAAAGTTATCAGACAGAAAACAAGAAAAGTAATGTGACATATTAAGAGATCATCTGTGATATATATATTCCGTAACGGTTATTCAATTCTCGAAATCAAGTGCAAGCCTTCGAAGTTATGAAATTAAAATAATATGCGAACAATTCAACTGCAATATCTGTGAAACGATACATTACTTATAAATTGTGAATAAGTGAGGATGATATTCCAAATATTGTACATCTATGCCAATGCTTTATTTCATTGAAAGGGGCCCGGGTAAAACATATACTTAACATGCATAACGTTCCTGAGGCGATGGGCATTATAGGATTTTAATATCTAAAACGATATCATTGGTTATGTTTTAGAATTTTGCAAGAGCATTAACGACATCAAAAGGATTGCCATCGCATAAAACGTAAGTTATTCATATATTCCTTTTAGGGACTTGATTTTATAAATTCATACCATTATCTTCAATTTAAGTAAAACATAAATATTCTTTTTAAAAGTTTTCAATTATTAGCATTTCAAAAATCAATTATGTCAAAGATTATCGTTAGCAAGTAATGAATATAAAATTCACGGTGTTTTGAACTCTGGTTGTAAGAGACCCTGTTTCCTACTTAAAGATATGTTACTACAGAGTTAAAAAGGCTTTTCCTAGCACATTATACCATACTATGAACTATCGCTGTATTGATACCACTGCATGGGATGTCATCCGCCTAAGGGCAAAGGATTTTCTGTATTGGTATCATTTGAATGATACATTTTATGTGGAAGTTTCCGGGTCATAGTATTGTTTAATTTAAATGAAACGAATATTACGAGTCCTCAGGCAAGACTAGATTTATATAATGGTTCGTTGTAGGCCGTTTAGGTTTTAATGCTTTCGAACGTTTTATATTTTCGCTTTCCAAAATGTTAGACTCGTGTGTACCTATATTTTCCTTGAACACTTGTATATTAATCATATCAATTTTTTTTCCTGTACTGCCTTTACTTGATGCAGAAAATCTGAAATGGTTTTTTGAAACAACGACGTCAGTTTTGACTTTTGCTTGTAGATGTAAAATTAAAATAGCATTATGATTTTTTGGCAATAGAACAATTTATTACATGACTGAAACTCATTTTGCCTTTTTTCTTATAGTGGCATACTTTCTGCTGTTCAGAGGCACGTCAATACAAACAACATGAAGGGCAACAAAAATAGTGTTTTAAATTACTTGAAATTCTCCGTTTTTGGACTTGGGTCTAGTGCTTACCCAAATTTTTGTGCATTTAGTCAATTAATTGACAAAACAATGGAGACATTAGGAGCGACCAGGATTTATAGTATTGGAGAGGGAGATGAAATGTGCGGTCAAGAAGAATCATTCAAAAATTGGGCTAAAAAGGTTTATCAGGTAATTAGTCATAAGGAAAGATGACATTAAAGGTCCATTTGGTCCATATATGTTAAGGTTTCGTAAATAACTTGATACGTCTTAACGTCATCTTGTTTTACAAACTTAATATGTTATTGTGAAATGTGTAGCAGACCAACTTTAAAATTAATGCAACCTTAAGATAATGTATTTACGTCCTCGTTAACATCGCCCATGGTGCTTGTAATTCATTTATATGATGTTTTGTTTGCATATACGATCTGACAACTGCTTATGAAAGTAATATCCATTACATATTTTATTTGCAGTATAATGAATGATACTTTTTTTTTTACCATAGGTTGCCTGTAGTTTTGTTGGTAACAAAGTTGGGTTAAATGATGCATCCGATGTACTCGAAAAGTCGGATATGATCTGGCGTCCGGAAACATTCCGTGTGATACAAGTACCTACAGAAAACCGTCTTTCTCTTGTTGAAGGTATGTACAATTTTCAGGTGATTATGGATTCTGTGAAAAGGAGTAAATTAATACAATTACTTAACATTGAAAGGTTTGTTTTGGCTTTGCAGATGAATTTTTCCTTTTTAGTAATGTCAAAAAAAAAATACATTTGTAAAGCACGTCATACATTTTGATATAAAACACACGTCTTAATCTTTGGTTTTAGAGTAAATCTGTGTTGACTATTTCATACCCATTTTTCTTTTTGCAATTTAGATAGTTATATCTGTCTCAAATCTGATCAATACACTAATAATTCTTTCTCAAATCTGAACAATATAGATCGATAAATCTGATCGATATAGATTTGGCAATAGTAACGATCCACTCTGTAGAACACCTCAATTGATTCTTAAAAGTAGAAGAGATAACACGTTCTATGCGTTTGCTTTATGCAATGTGTAGTGCATGTAAGGACTAATCAATACCCTGTCTCCCTTTTCCAGTTACTTAAACAAATTGATATGTTTTGTTTTAGTAGCACAGTTAACTCAAGATGTTTTAATGAGGTAAATTAATATGTATAGTACTATTACCATACATTCGTACAAGACAGCACAATTACTCTTAAATGTTTTTGTTGTGATTTAAATGTGTGTTTGGTTGCTGTTTTAATTTATTGTCGTATTGAGCTACCCATCTTCTTGTACTATCCAAATGGATACAGTATGAACTGAATTATTATCGAGGTTGCATTAATAACTACACAAATGATGGTCCATGTAAATAAACTCACCATAGATACCAGAATCTAAATATATATTATGTTCACCCGAAACTTGTGCACGTAAATGAATACAATATTCATTTCATTTAGTATATTTGTTTGTGTGTTTGACATGAAGTCTTTCTTTCTTATGAAGAGTACTGTAAGGTACACAAGAAGAATGTGTTCAAATGTCGACTGACAGAAAGAATACACTTAGAGAAAAGAAATTCCAGGTAAATATTATTACGCTGTTTTATGTATTTGCGTAAGGTACTTATTTTTGTTATCAGTCAAGTTCATTTGATATAATAATGAAAGGGTAAGTTAAAGACTCATTTAGGTTGGTTAATCAATCGAAATTTTGCTGAAAATCAATTTTGAACACATATAGAAAAAGGCTTTCCTTGATATTTCAATACTTAGTTTACCTTAGGAATGAATACTAAATGTAATAGTATGAATGTTATGACACTAAAAGGATATACATGTAGTTGAAGAGATTTGTTAGATAATTTAAACGTATGCAAATTCCGGGAAAATTTCAGCATTGTCTGCATTTTTCTCAGCGGATTTTAACAATTCATTGTTTCCTTATATGTACGAGTCGAACTAATATTTTACAAGTAACAGAACCGACCAAATGGTACTTGCATGACATGATTTCCGTTTGACTTAACCAGAAATAAGAGACGTTCTTCTCATTTGCATATATATCATGCTGTAAACTGATTGAGCCGAATGAAATATAAACGGTGATAAACAAAATCTTCAAAAAGGACTTGCCGTACATAACTCGAAAAATAATAAAATAGAAATACAATAAACGTGATATCCTGGAATGAAAAAATCCGATTTCCTTACGTATCTGATATTCTGCAATGGGGCATTTGACATTTAAAAGTTGAAAACCATTGTTTAATATGGTTGAACACGTTAAATCAGAATTCATTTTGAAAAGTAACACCCTTTGAATTTTGCGCTGGTGTCAGTATCTGTGACCATTCTTTGATATGTTTTACTGTTTTATTTGTACTTCTGTTTTTATAGTATATTTCACTGTTATTTTTTGGGGCTAACTTTTTTTTTGTAACGTATGTAATTTTGTATACCTTTTGTCAGTCCCTTGATCGAAATTTAATATAAAAAAAGGAGTGTTCAGATTAAAACAAATACTCGTATAACTCTGCCGCATAGTCCTATGTCAGTCTCAAGTCAAGAACTACGCTTTTTGGTTGTCTTATATCATACCTAAATGGATTTCTTTCGGACAGATCCCATTAGTAGATGTCGAAATCAAAAATACTCTCATCCACAATGGAGACACTTTAATAACCAGTTGAAACATTTTATGTTTATTGTAATGTGTAATGCTAGCTAGTGTACTAGTAATTCAAATTGATTTCCATCGCATTTTAAGCAATATCAAATTCCAATATACTATGTCGTCGTTCAATATGTTTAAAGATGTATTAAGTATTGTCATAATTTGATTGTCAATTTAATTTTTCTAACATTCAACTAATATAGATTCACAAGTTTTAGGTTCTTTTTTTATTTCAAATCAGAAATATAAATATAACGTACATGTATCTAAAATTCAATAAAATTCAATATAGGAAACAAACCGTATGTAGTACACTTATGTTGCTCTTCCTTCCTTTTTTCTTGTGAAGTCGACAGACGATTCTTGCAAAGATAGATATAAGTGCCAACATCGATAGCATGAGGTATAGTCCTGGAGATCACCTATTGTTGTTTCCAAACAATATTCCAGCGCTTGTCAGTGGCATAATTGACCGTTTGGTGGATGCCCCTGAAGTCGACCAACTTTTACAATTACAACGCAATACATCCGGTGATGTCAAACTCGACAGGAATAGTTCGTATGAATTTTAAAATCTCAAGTTTTCCTACTTTGAATTTTCTGTTATTTGTTATGTTATTTCAATATGGTAATCTATACCAAACAATATCGAGTAAAATTAAATTTAAGACAATGGTAGTTTACCGATGTTCAAATGTCATAAATGCATTTAGAAGATACAAATCAAAAAATATAAGAAAACAATGGGGGAATCATATGAACTCAAAAAGAAGAAAGACCGGGTGCTTTGTCAGGGTAAGCGTCTCCTGGTCTCATAGCATCAACCAATTATCAAATCATATTGCCTATTTGTAGATATTGATATGCCCATGTCCGCGATAAGATTGATTTGTATCTTTTCATATCATTGTCTTAATTTTTCTTATAGGTAACCATGATTCGTGGAATGACTGGGGTCGATATCCACCATGTACTTTGACAGATATGCTAACAAGATATCTTGACATTTCAACTCCTCCATCACAGGAACTTCTTAATATTCTGTCAAGTCAAGCGATAAAAATGGAGGAGAAATTCCAAATCAAACGTCTAGTTAATGTAAGAAAATTTGAAGTAGTTTATGTTATATTTAGGTGGTCAGTTTCGAACCCTTTGAAGAACCCCAATGTTATAGATATTTTATTCTCTATTCACGAAAAATATGTTGGTGTATCAGTACACAAAGCCTCAATCAAAAATCGTTACTTGAAATATCTTAAAGAACGTGGAAATCACAACAAAATTCTACATATACCTGTATAATTAAGAAAGAGGAGAATTTAGGAAATCATAAATCCGTCTCTCCTTTGGTATCAAAATGAAAAAAGGGATGATGAAAGTGACCCTGACATGTTGATACATAAACCTCACACAAACTCTTTTCAAGATGATTTACACCTAGGTCTTCAAGATTTTCGACAAAACAATCTTTTGAAAGTTATAACTACTATTCATTTTACAGTAAAACATTGTGATGAGTTTTATTCAACCAGTGGTGTCCATCAGAAATGGATTCTTAAAAATTCTCATTGCAGTAGATTTAACTACACTTTACATTACTATTCCCCGTGCTCAATTGTATTATCCACTACATCGTCGCATCAAACAAAGCTTTTTCGTAAAAATAATTGGAGTCGTAAATACAAATTCCTTGTTTCATGTGATAGAAAATCTTATTTTTTGAAGAATCACACATTTTCCATCAACAAACACACCAACGAGGATATCATTAAACGATAGCCTTTTTGATCGACAACATCTTTGTTAAATGTAAACTTATTGTGTACCCCTTACTGGTCGACTTGTTTGCACTCATATAACGCAGAATTCAAACAGAGTCTTCTCAAAGACTAAAAACCATCCTGCAATGATCTTTAATTCAGTTTCATATATATTGCTGTCAATCAATATCCAATATATTAGTGAGTGATTATATCTCATATATCTAAATGAATTTGAGAAGACGGATACTACCGACAGTAGAATGGCTTCTTTATAGTTTGATCTTTTCCTCAAATTGTAACAAATGAACGACTTCAAACAAGAATATATGACAAACGTGAGGATTTAAATTTTCCAATTTTTAATTTATCATATCACAGGAGTAACATTCCTTCAGTGCTATTGTATGGAGTTTACATAATACCCAACCTATATCCCTGAAGTCACATGACGCGGGCATGTCATGATCAGGTGACTATTATGTTCTTTCCCATACCTAACACATGTTTAAAAGATATATTATTGTATAATACACACTTTTTGTTTTCTTCTTTTTTTTTGTTTCTTTTTCTTTTTTGTAACTTGGTATTGTATATTCTGATGTTGTGTATAATCATGTCTCCCTAAGTAGTTTGTTTATATTTTAGTCAGAACTGCACAAGCCATGCAAATAAAGTTCAAATAAATGCAAACTTTGCTTATGATACAAAAATCAAGAAGATTATGGTCAACTAACCTGTTAACAAAGGACAATTTGTCTAAATCTTGTATTCCGTTGATATTCAAATTCTCAGTTAAAATAATCAAGAACGTTAAAATCAAAGATGATGATTGCAAACACGCTGTATATTAACTAATATGAAAAACCATTATAGGATAGAAATGGAATACTCCGGTAAACATGAAATTATTTAAAATATTGTAATATTGTAATGTAATACCAATTTACTCTTATTAGATATTCTCCCTGGATACCTAATAACTAATATATCAGGGATACTTAGTACAATACTGTACACTAAGTAAATTGTTAAAAGCAATTGTGCTCAATAAAATATATTAGTCACGTTAAAAAAAAAAGTTTACATAATTTAGTAAATGCTTACGCTCGTACATGTTTACACTATATGGACTTCATTAATAGTTTTGATCCTGACATAATAACTGCTCTAACTTAAGTATGAGGAAGAACGACCGCAATTGACCCTACGAAAGTTTTATGTCACCATCACGAAATGGTTGACCGATACGATGTTTCTATGTCTTAATAAACCAGCGGATATATTTTCGCGGCATACGATGTTCAGATACCAGAAAAGTTGTCTGATCTGTAATTTAACCGATTGTTTGTGACATTTTGACTGAGTATGGATTCGAATGGCGGGTCATGCATGCATACTGTGAGGCAATTACACTGTCAATTCACTTGGTCTTGCTCCTTTTGGAGTTCATGCGATTTCATCAGTTATTGTTTGTTTCTTTGATTTGTATCTTCTTAATCGATTTATTAGTTTTGAACATCGTTAAATAAGTGTTGCCTAAAATAATTGCTTTTTCATACGAGACGATTCGAGGCAAACTATCTGTCAACAGGTAACTGGTACATTTTTTCTCATAGCGATTGATCGTTGAAATGTTTTATCATTGCCTTACGTCGTCTCAACTCGAAATGACTTTATCGTGTCAAGCCGAACGATGGCGACTCATACTCCTCATACATTAGTATTTGACTAATAGTATATGTTCTAATAGATAAAGCAACGGATAGTTTTAACTGTAGAAAAAGAAAATTACTTATAATTAGGCATAATGGGTTTGTATGCTTTATTACATTTTTCATACATTTTTGGACTGAAATATTGAAATTACAAATTGTTTTTTGTTCGTTTCAATGTTAATTAATTGAATTACCGTATTTATATTTTTAAGGTAGAAACAAAACATTCTACCACTTATCCTATATAAATGGGGGAATAAATATTGTTTTTGAACTGCAGTCAATCATACAAAATAATTTCAGAATACCAGAATATATGATGAATGGAAAAACTATGGGATGCCAACGTTACTAGATGTTCTGAAACAATTTCCCTCAATACAATTGACACCAGCCTTCCTAATATCACAGCTTCCGCTTCTTTTACCACGATATTACAGTATTAGTTCGTCATTAGACGCAGCTCCAGGCGAGATGCATCTAACTGCTGATGTTCTTGAATATCAAACATCAGGTAAATAAGACCGCGAATTTAATTTAAAACATTACAATTACAAGGAAATAATTGTTACTTTTTCTTATAAGTAAATTTATTTTTGATTATACAAAAATGTACACTTGCAATAAAAAAACGAAGATACTAAACGGTCAATGATAAACAGAAGTCACGAAAGAAACAATGACAACAAATATTCAAAAGTCCATAAAAATCTACACGGAAAAGAAAAGATTTGTCAACACAAACTCAACAAAAACTCGTGTGATCTCCGGTTTTCAAAACACTTTCGTAGCTGCTGCCCTTCTTCTGACACTTGCCGCATGATTAAATACCCTTATTAGTGGTTAAGCAGCAAACAAATGCGTATTAAATAACGTCCCATGTCTACAATTAAGACATCGCCAAAATCATGAAGCAATGGTACATCAAAATTTCCAACATAACACTTGACCAAATATGAAAGTCTGAAATAAAAATAGAGGTATATAGAATAACAATGGACAAGACTGTCAGCGGTAGAGACAACGCAGACATTGATATCAGTAATAAAAGCAAAGGCATCTCTTAAAATAAGGATGGTTTCAGTTTTCCGGAAAGATAAGCAAATGTTTTACTCTTAGTTTTAGTGTTGCCAATTTCAAGTTAAAATCTGGTGATATGATGCACTCGGTGAAATCACAATCGAGGAAAGGAGAACGAGATAGTAGCTACGACATGGGAAACATATCTGTGAAATAGAAATTCCATATAATAATGATAGTTTAAACATTTTCAATGGATTGGCTTCAAATTTATTAATAAAACCTTATATTTTAATGTGAAAGCAGGCACACCTAGAAATACCGCATCAACTTGGAGATATATACTCGATATGCAGTTGCCACTGAAATGTTCCTACAGAGAAATGAAACAATGAGAAAAACTAAATTCATCTCTTTTTATCGTAAAGTTTACCTCGCAATATAATAACCAAAATTGTATGTCGCAAGAATTGATTAATAACAGTATAAATGGAAATGATAACACAACTAAGTAGTCAGTACTTCGGTACTGACATGATTTATAACAAACCTTTCTAAAACCGTCCGTTAATAAATTTTGAAACCATAAAGAAACTAGGTTTCAACTCCCTCAGGCAAAGTTGACCTTAGATGGATTTGGCAATTTTTTAAAGTCTTATTTGGTCATATAACTGTTTCGGTTCTTATACATACTTGGCGATCAAATATTCGGCTTTCGGCGTTCCTTATGAAGGTAAATGCAGAAAAGCGCTTCGGACGCATGAAATTTATAACGCGTTTTTTTTTTCGTTTTTTTTTTAACTCGTACAATTGTAATAATATGTTGGTTATGCTAAACCAATTGCTATAGAACCATATATGTATTATGTCCAGTATAATATACTAGTGGCAAATAATATAATAAAGGTACATTTAGTGTTATCTACTGACATGAGCAACATGACGAGTGCCACCCCACTAGTGGATCAGGATCTGCTTACCCCTCCGGAGCACCTGGGATCCCTCCGCTTTTGATGGGGTTTGTGTTGATTACTCTTTAGTTTTCTATGTTGTGTTTTGTGTACTGTTGTTGGTCTCTTCGTCGCTTTTCGCTTTTTGCCATGGCATTGTCAGTTAGTTTTCGACTTATGCGTTTTAATATCCCTTTTGTATCTTTCCTCTCTTTAACATTTCCAGATGGCAATAAACATCAAGGTGTTTGTAGTAACTGGCTTAATAATTTAGTTATCGGAGAAGAAATCTACTGTAATGTCAGAAAGTAAGTATTGTATGACAATCAAAGCTTAAAGACTTAAAACCTGTCACGATTTCAATTAACATAATATTTTCACTATGAGAAAAATTCAACAACATAGATGAACATATAATGAATTGGTAAGAACTTTTAGTAATTTTTCACAAATATCGGAATTTATTTTTGAAGTATAACTCAAGTTTCAGAATTTTATTCAAACGTTCTACACTGATGTCAATTATCAGAAAAATAATCAAGTAACTGCAACAGATCTTTCTCTATTTTTCGCTTAACAGATACTTATTATTAAAGGTAATACCTGTATTGCAGTGTTCAATCTTTGTGTTCAGTATTTTGGGGTAATTATAGCTTTTTTTTTAAACTGTAAAGTCTCTATTCTTTCTGCATTGAAATTCAACTAGAAATTACATTTAGCGTGTATGCCTGTTCTATTAAAGACACTGGTTATGAGACGTTCTCCGATGTATAGCTCCCGATATAAGGGGAAAAGGCGGCATTAGTTTGTGTCAATAAAACCAAGATTCAGCAATGCAAATTTTAAATAAAATAAGCACAATCTATGACAATGTTTTCAATATCCGTTCAGAATATGGACCATATTTGCAGAAGTAAATGGTTTTCACTTACACAATAAACTGACAATTGAGAATTATGCCAAATAATGGTTAGGTTTTGTTTTTTGAACCGTTGTATTTGTAGTCCATATATAATAGTAAAATTTTCCGAGTTACACGAACACAAATAGTTTACTTACAAATAGCCATAAAATTGAAAAAAAACATTTTATACAATTAAAATTCCTCTAAATATGATGTTATATGTATGCTCAACTGTTATTCTCAAACGATTTGTTTAGATAAGGTTTCCTATTGTGCCGACTATTCATGACAATATCTAAAATATTGTTCAAAAACGAATATGCAAGAAAAAATCATCTATATGACAAATCATTGTGTCTTTCTGAAAGTGCAGGATAGCTGAAAATGATCATTGGTAAAAATAAGTAGAATAATAAATGCATTGTAATAAAAAAAGGCCAAGGATATTGTTATGTAATATGGTTTATTTGTATAACATAGTGTGAGTACATGCATTATTACAATTTTATTCAAGGATTCAAATGACGGAAGTTGGTTTTTTTTAATTTATTTTTTTGTGTATGTGTAAACAATATTTAATTGTAAAAATATTAACATAAACTGACAAAATGACGGAAATTATATCATACAGTTATTTTGATCATGATTTTGAAAAATATGTATATTAATCAGCGCTTGTAAGGTTCTCTACTGAATCATGAATTGTTAACCCCGTTGAAATAATTTGTATTTTTTCTCTCGTTTTGATATGTATTGCATAGGTATATGCTTATACTTTAGAAATCCATCACGTATCCAGAGTTCCTAATTAATCAATTTTTTTCAGAGCACCATTGTTTCATCTGCCAAATGATCAGTCTGTTCCGATCATTATGGTCGGTCCTGGTACAGGAATTGCACCCTTTAGGGGCTTTTGGATGCAACGTAGAATAGATGTAGAACATGAACTAACATCTAGACGTATGTACTAATCTAAAAACTGTTCAATTATTACGATCAAATAACTATGAAAAGAGACTTTTCATATTCTATTTCAAATTACATTATTGTAATGTCTATGATCAAATGACTATGAATACAGAACATGACGTTTTGGTGCCTGCTATTTTAATGTATGATTTGACTTATTTTTGTGGTTTACAATACCAAACCATTGACTTACATGTAGCAGTTTCCTCCGAAATCCATTTGTAAATCTCTAACTCCTTGATAACGGCTTACCAAATTTGTACAAAAATTGCCCAGATTTTTCTATTGTACATGAAGTTGTCTTCAGGCTATTATGATTTTAAATCTTGGTGATTTTTGGCGTTTCAAAGCCAATAAATGGACTATTATTGCTTATATCAATTTTTTTAATCCGCTGCTCATTGAAAATGGCTAGACAGAAATACTCCAAACTTGAGTAGGTTATTCTACTGAACATGAAGATAATACCTAAAAAAAGAAATCATCAGAAAGCGCAGAGTAAAACAAACCATATCAACAATGTTAGGCCAGAAATCACCTTTAAATTGTAACCAACAAAAGACACAAATCAATAACAAAATTTAACAAGATTTATTATACACAAGTTTACAAGAAGTATTACTCAAATAGAAATGTCAACTTAACTGTCAAAATATATGTCCGATCTTTTGTCTTTTCTTTATCCGGAATTCTTCTCTTCACTGTTGCGGGATCCAAACAGAATATTATGTCCAATTAATCACAAATCACAATCTAGTATGATGTAGTTAGCGTAAATAAAAGTGTCAATTCAACTGAGAATATTAAAGGCTATGTCTTAAAGTTTAACTTTAGTGTCTGTATATATAGTTGTCACGGAAACTTCTATAACACTGTAGAAAGGAAACTCCTAGAACAATGTAGACGTTTAAATTACGCATCTTTTATTATGATCATTCTGGAATCGTTATGTAATTAAAATAGAAAGTTCTAATCATTCCGTCAGTATCTATGATTGTTCCAGTGATTTCTAAACTGCACAGTTACAATATTATTTTTTAAACAACTATAAATATTATGTAAACATATTATAAGGCAAAAAAAACAAATTAGGCCAACTTAATAAACATGATAGTTACAATATCATAACAACAACCAACAACCAACTATCTTGAACAAGAAAGTAAAAAATCACATAATTTGTGAAAGCAGTATCAAAATGTACTCACTACGAAAAGACGCAAGCTAAGACATCTATGCCTACTGGTTGAATATTCCGCTCATGAAAAAAAACTAAACTAATAAATAACACTCGTAAGACATGTAATAGGTTCCAATAAATCTCATTATACAATATAATTGAAATCTGTAGTTTTTGTGAGAAGCCAGTATATATCAAAATCGTCCGAACTTTTTTACTGAATTAGTGAGTCTGTCACACATGAAACCATTGCTGTTGAAAGATTTCAGAAATTTCCAATTTTAAAATAACTCATATTTGGAAACCATTTACCATACTTGAGAAGTATACATGCATGGTTTGAGGTAAGCGTTCATTATTTTTGATTTTGAACTCAAGAATCACCACCATCAGGATAATATATTTAGAAGGGAGCTTCTTTGGTTTAGCTAGCTATAAACCGAGGTTTAACCCATCATTTTCCTCGGAAAATGCCTGTACCAAGTCAGGAATATGGCAGTTGTTTTTCACTTGTTCCTTTGATTGTTAGCGTTTAATATTGTCATTTTTTATGGACTTCCTCTTTTTGAATTTGCCTTGGAGGCATTTTTGTTATACTTTTTTTTTCAATGCATAATTGATATATTTTTTCTCGGAAACTGTCCATAGGTTATTTTTAGCACGGAAGAAAACATGAGTATGCTTGATAACTTTTGTTATATGGGTGGTTATTTTCAGTTCGTGATTATCTCTGTTGCAGAATAGTGTGAGGAATACATATTACCAGCAGCTTCTTGAAAACAAATGAAACCTGTTTTACAAGCTCATTTCGAATATGTATAGATAATGAAACGATTGTCCTCCCATTAATCTGTAATTTTTTGTTTATACTTTTTATACTTTACAATAACAAGACAGTCTTCGTTGATAACACAATCGTTGCTATCAGTATCAGCAAAGTCCTGTCAGCTCGAATTTCCTCGGGTGATTGAACACGCTCATGAATGATTACAGATCTAAATGTTTATACTTTAAGATAAACGCCAACACTGTTTTGGAGAAATTTACTTATATTTTGGCTGCCACAACACGACTGCAGACAATATCTACAGAGATGAGATCCGTCAATGTGAGAACGACAAGATCTTGACAAAATGCTATTTTGCCTTCTCCCGAGAACCGGGAATAAAAAAGGTACACATTACATGAAAATATTAAGTTATCATAAATCATGATTGAGACAACTAAACGTTCAACTCTTTTTTAAAGTTTGGATTATATAAATAACTATCATTATTACTTTGGTCATGTGTGACGTACATGCTTTTCATGCAATTATCAAAGAATAGCAGAGAGAAAAGATTACGACCAAATGTACCAAATTTCAAGACAATGTATATACTGACTATATTAAATGGGGGAAAAATATTGAAACAATTCTGACTGTGACAAGAATTTGGTAAAAAAAAACTTTCATGAAAGAGTTTGGTTTTTACCAGTTTTATGGTTCAGTAAACCCTCCTCAATATGACATTCCTTTGCATTAAAAATTATCCATGCTTCCAAGTACACAAGTAACTATTTTAAAGGACCTACACCGATTGCTATCTTTGATGGATACATAAATTTATCTAATGATGATTAATAGTTTTGATGCTATGGCGTTCATTACAAAACTGCTTTTGCCTCATATATTTTTATCAATATAAATAACATTTTTAAAGTTCATTTTTTAAATTTTATTAACGGAATGATAGGAGATGAAATTATCTGTCGTGTGGGCAGTTTTCAGTGTAATTTAAACCAAAGACTTGTCGGAAGTCATGAAACCATTTTGCGGTTTGATAATATTTGACAATGATACACTTATTTTAGCTTGCTAGCTTCTGTTTCATTAGAATGTTAATGAAATATATGTTAGTCAGAAGTTTGCAGTGTGCTTTAATTTAGGATTGTCATAGCTGTTGTTATAAAATCACTAAAAAATCAATAACCTTGTTTGTGAAAATGTGTGTATATATTTTTTCAATTTTGTCAATATAACGGAACTATAAAAAACGGTCTTACAAGTGGGAGGTTTAGCTAGGTATCAAACCAGGTATATCCCACCATTTTGTTCGGAAAAACTTCTGTACCAAGTCAGAAACATGACAGTTGTTGTCCATTCGTTTGGTTGGTTAATAAAGTCAAACGTTTGATTTTGTCAGTTTTTTATGGACTTCACCTTTTTTAATTTAACTTGGAGTTCGGTATTTTTGTTATACCTTTTTGTGTGTTTTTCAACAGTGCAAAACACATATAAAATAAAGTTTGGTATGTGATTTTCGTTTTGAAAATATCTTTAAGCTGTATGATAATATATATATATTTTACTGGAGTTACAAAATATTTAAGGAAAATTATGGGCCAACGGCATTCCTCTTTTTTATTTTTGTTCAACTGTTTTATCTTATGCTTTGATAATGGTTACAATATGAGCAAAATTCATGTGACAGAAATATTGTAGATGCATGTGTGTCAATAGTGAAAGATATTTTCATTTTAACAGAAGGAAAACGTTTGGATCATGTTCTGAAAGATATAATCGTTACTTTCTGAACTTATTTTATTTTACTTGATATTACTAGAGATATAAAACAGTAAATTAAGGCTACAATAATTTATCGATGTTCATATCTCGCAAATCGATTAAGAAGAGACAAATTAAGATAACAAAAAAAAACTGAGGAAAAGGGAGCGAGACCTTTTGTGTCGACAGTGTAAGCGTCTAATACTATGCATGACTTACCCGCCATGCGAATCTGCACTCAGTCAAAATATCACAATTGGGTAAAATAACACATCAGACGACAGTTAGCAATTTGAAAACAATATTTTGGATAGAAATATCATAGGTCACAATTTATCAATGCCGTGTGTAGGTTAAATCTTACTATTACTTTATTCAGGTTTGAATCGTTTATAGCCTTTTATGCTTCGTGCGATTTCAATTATTCTTACAATGAAACAACAGTGCATGCATCAATAATGTAATAATATAAAATAATTCAATTGTTTTTACCAAAACAAAGTTAAACACTTTTCCATGTGGATTTTTCTAACATAGCCTTCATCAGGTAGATTCGAGACCGAGAGCAAATGACATAAAACGCTTATGCAATAAACAAAAAGTAAAATGGATAGTACAGTTTTACCTATTTGTAGATGATCTCATAGTATGTTGCATGACGTTGGAATTCTTTTCACATTGGCTGCACTGTCTTATATTTTCAGACATACGTACAAGATTTGATAAAAAGGAATGGAAGAGATATATACAAAATGATTGTGAAAGAAAACGGTCATTTCTATATCTGTGGTAGCATCCAAATGGCATCAGACGTGAAAAAGATGCTAAGACGCGTGATCCAATCATGGGGTAAAAAAACAGAGTCCCAGGTTGACGAATATATTAATGAAATGAAGGTAAGTGTTAGGTTCTCATGATCAATAGGATTAGGAACAAAACATCAATGAACATTTAAAGCCGATTTTGCTAACTCAACATTTACAGATATTGGTTTCGACAAAAATTTGGTGTCCTTTAAAAGATCGGATCAACATTTCTTTTCTACTAATCGACTTACATTTGAATCATATGCATGGTTATAACAAACAAATTACAACTACGTTTCATCATGTTTCAATAAACAAAATATATACAGACGCCATTACGTATTCGTCACATTCTGCACCACAATATCGTCACTGCCATTTCCGAGACTAAATTGTCTGTTCATGTTATATATGAAAACCCTGTTTTAAGTCCATATTATTATCAATACAAACCTACAGTTATTTATT